CAGCCCACTTCTTCGAAGAAGTGGGCTGTAGTCCACGAAAGCTTATGCTCTAATAAATTTGTTAGTCTCTAAGGTGCCACAAGTACTCCTGTTCTTCTTTTTGCGGTTAGTTTAAAGTACAGGCTAACAATTAAAACAGTTAGGAACCCTTCCTTACACCTAGATTTTTATCCTTGCTCTGAGAGAAGAGAGGGGGTTGCTAGCTGCTCCTGCAAACCCTGAATTTGTTCCCCCAGTGTCTGTTGCTTTTGTTTGCACCCCAAGTGGATTCCAGGAGTGCCCTTCTCCATTTACTCTGGGGGAATTCTGCACCAAAAAAATAAAAATTCTGCTCAGAATATTTTTAAAATTCTGCAAAATTCTGCATATTTTATTTGTCAAAATAACACAATATAATCACACCAGTTTCAATTATTTTTGGTCATTTATTTCAGCAAGTATGTCTGTCACAATACAGACACCAAAAAAGATTCAGGAAATGTTTTTTGACAGCTAGATTCCTTTCTAGGCATACAGAACTCTGAGTAATAATTCATTTAAACTACAATACAGAATCATATTTCCCGCCCCGGCTGACCCCGAGCCTCTCCCATTCAGTCAGGCATATCTGCTCCGTCCCATGTGTCTCTGTGCCCTCATCCAGCCACTCCTCTGTCCCTACATAGCTCTGCCCTCCTCCCCCATCCCCATGGCCCTGTGCCTCCACTCCATTGAGCTCCTGCCCCAGTCTGTCCTCCCCCACTAGGCAGCTCTCTCTCTTCCCTCGCTGGCCGGGAGCTGCTGCTGTGTTCTATCACCTGGAGTAGCACCAAACTTGAAAGGGTACTGGCAGCTTCCCAGAATGCTGCTTTTAGTTCAAACCTCTTACAAATGCACTGATAAGGGGGCTGCTGGTCCACCCTGGTTCCAAGCCCCCACTAGCCAGCTTCAACGGCTGCTTTTCCTGCAAGCAGTGGACAAAGCAAGCGGCTACCAAACAACGTTATAAGGGAGCATTGCACAACTTTAAACGAACATCTGCTCTAATTCAGAGGTTCTCAAACTGTGGTCCATGGACCGAGCTCCATTGAGGTGGCCGGTGGATAGTTTCCTCTAAGGTGCACGCTTGGGTGGCCACACACGAGAGAATGAAGGCGCAGGTGTGGCTCCACCATTAGCTGCCTGCACCCTAGAGAAGATGCACATGTAAGGTGAGGTGGTGGTCTTGGGGAGAAGAGGGGGTAGGTGGGAGGGAGCAGTGGGGTGAGAAGAGGGGGTGGGGGAATTTGTGTCATGCAGGGCTGCAGCGGCCAGAGAAAGGGATGACTTTCCCCAGCTGCAGGGCTGCGGCTGCCACGGAGAGACCCCCCCTCCTTTCCAGCCCCAGGGTGGGGACTGCTATGGTGGGGGAGAGACCCCTCCTCCTTCCCAGGCCAGGGGCTGCCACGGCAGGGGAGAGAGGGCACATCCGTCCCCTTAGAAAGGTTTAGACTACTGCTATTAAAGTATGAGTTGTGTGCTTTTATATGTAGAACAATAAAACTTTAATTATTATTAAGGGTTTTTATGTAGCACAAGTTCAATATAATGCGGTTTCACCTATAACGCGGTAAGATTTTTTGGCTCCCGAGGACAGCATTATATCGGGGGTAGAGGTGTATTAAGAGTTTTTAATATAGCGCTTTTATCCAAAGCGCTTTACAATAGTTAGCTAACGGTACAAACAACATTTGGAAAGATCATTAAGTGGTCCACCGAGACCCTCAGCAATTTTCCAGTGCTCCGCAAAAAAAGTTTGAGAATCACTGATCTAATTGATCAGCAACGTAACTAGGGTTACCATATTTAAAAAATAAAAAAAGAGGACATTCCACGGGGCCCTGGCCCCGCCCCTTTCCCACCCCCGCCCCCGGCCCAACTCCGCCCCTTCCCCG